CGGAACCCTGAACCCTAAACCCCGAAACCCTAAACCCCTCAACCCCCGAAGCCCGGAACCCTAAACCCTAAACCCCGAAACCCCAAAGCCCCTAAACCCTAAACCCTAAAACCCCAAAACCCTAAACCCTGAACCCCCACACCCCGAAACCCCTAAACCCTAAACCCCATAACCCAAAACCCCTAAACGCAAAGCCCCTAAACCCTAAACCCCTAAACACTAAACCCCAAAGCCCTAAACCCTAAACCCCAAAGCCCCTAACCCTAAACCCCCTCAACCCTTAAACCCCTAAACCCTAAACCTCCAAACCCTGAAACCCCTAAACCCTAAAACCCCCTAAACCCCAAACCTATAGGTTCAGGTTGTTGCCCCCTCCTTGGACCTGGCCCTGGGGTTACAACCTTGGTTCAACCCAACCCGCCTTTGCGGGGTATGCTCAAACCTTGGTTGCTAGAGGGGGAGGTTTTCCTTGCGACCTTGCAACAGAGCCTAAACCCAAAGCCCCTAAACCCCTAAACCCTAAACCCCTAAACCCCAAAGCCCCTAAACCCTAAACCCCCAAACCCCGAAACCCTTAAACCCCGAAACACCCTAAACCCGACACCCCTAAACCCAAAGCCCCTACAGCCTAAACCCCTAAGCCTCGAAACCCCTAAACCCTAAAACCCCTAAACCCCAAAGCCCCAAAGCCCCTAAACCCTACACCCCCAAACCCCGAAACCCCGAAACCCCGAAACCCCTAAACCCTAAAACCCCTAAACCCTAAAACCCCACAACCCTAAACCCTAAACCCCCAAACCTCGAAACCCCGAAACCGTAAAACCCCACAACCCTAAACCCCTAAACCCAAAGCCCCTAAAGCCTAAACCCCAAAGCCCCTAAACCCCAATCAGCTGAAGCTCGCCGCCGACGTGTCCAAGGAGAGAATCCCTTGGAGTTGATCAGCGGGTCCTCAGTGCAACAATCAGGGTGTAGTCTCTGTTTTAACCCCCCCTGAGTTTAGGGTTTAGGGTTTACGGTTTAGGGTTTTGGGGGTTTGGGGTTTTGGGGGTTTTAGGGTTTAGGGTTTAGTGTTTAGGGGTTCAGAGCTTCTTCCTTCCTTGAAGGGTTCCTTTTCGGCGTCCTTTAAGGCTTCCTGTGCGGGATTCTATCTATAGGGACTGTAGAAGGTTCTATATGGGTAGGGTTTTGAAAAGGGTGCTTACTGGGCTTTAGATAAACACCTTGGGGAATCTTGAACTAGAAGGATCCTTATGCTCCGTCTAAGCCCTGTGAAAGGAGCCTGTAAACCCGATTACAGGGTCTGACTTCAGGTGTAATCCCTACACCCTAAATCCTAAACCCCAAGCCCTGAGCCCTGAACCCTCAGTTTAGGGTTTCAGGTTTAAGGTTTCAGTTCAGGGCCTACACCCGCCTTCGGGATTTGGGGCGTGGAAGGATAACTTGCTTCTGCTGTTACCATCTTCAGCATTGTCATTCTGGATATTATGACCATGATCAATGTCACCATCCTTTTTCTGTTAGCTGCAATTCCGATTTAGATATCCGTTTGCTCAGCTGGGCAAGCACCTTCAGGCACCGGTCGACCCTCAGGCAAACTCGGACCTTCAACCGCCGACCCTAAACCTTCAAGACTAAATACTAAATTGAAGCGCCATGCCATGACCCTAGCTCGCCGAAAGAGACAATGGCATTCTGCTGCACCGCAGGACTTCTGCAGCCGGGCTACGCACCACGCCTCTCAAGGGTTTTCAAATTGTCAGCTCAATTCGGAAGATCTTTGAATAAACCCGAGAAGCGGGTGAGCGAAGGAGAAAAGCCTGCTGTTCCCTGCTAACTTTACCTCCTTGCCAGGCATGTACAGGATGGAAAAAACTGTTTCACAGGACTCACTCGGCTGGCTAGGCCCGCTGCTGCACCGCCTGCGATTGGCTTCCCTGTTTTCAAGCCTGGTTGTTTCAAACCGCATGAAGCACCGAACAGGCCCGCTGAGGACAGCACCGTAGGTGTAACGCGCCATAGCCGCCTGCCACGTCGTGGCTGGGCTGGCGCCTCGTCGTCTCTACTTCGCTTCAGGTTAGGGTTGAGGGTTTAAGCAGGTCAGGGCTTGAGCTTAATGCATTTAGGGACACAGGGCATTGGGCTAGGACGGCGGCTACAGCTCATACAGACTTTGATTGAAGGGTAGCAGGTCAGCAGAAGCAGACTGCGACAACACCCTTTGTCATGCAGCGCTCTGCAAGGTGACACGACCAAAATTGCACATTCGTCAACTCCAAAGTGGTGTACAAAAAGCACAGATTGTGCAGTTTTGAGGGGGGTTTATCATAAAGGTCTTCCCACGGCTTCCCTGGTGCCAGGCTACCAGCGATCGCGGTGGAAGCCTCATCAGCGGCGAACTGCTGGGTCGACACGTCTACCCTGAGAGCAGGCAGTGGGTTGGGGCCAGAGGAAGTCGGCCCTGGGTTCCTTGACCAGGGTTTAGGGGTTCCTGAACAGCCAATCCCGAACTCCGAGTCAGCCTTTGCAGGGAACTTTGCGGCAATTCGCACCTCTGCACCTCCAGCCGCTCGCCGCCCCAATCGAAGCTCAAGGAGGGCGACAAGAACGTCTTGAACTCAAGGCCCCTCTGCTCGGGCTTCCTCCGGCCTCTAAGCCTCGGTAACAGCAGCGCAAAAGCCGGTGTCTCAAGATGGGCTTTGTTGAAAATGCCCGCAACGGGCTTCAGCATGAACGACATGAAGAAGAAGAAGAAGAAGAACAAGCGGAAGAGGATGAAGCAGGTGAACATGCGGAAGAGGATGAAGCAGGTGAATATGCGTTGGGCATTTCAAATTGTCATGACTCATGCACTTTTACGTTCTGTAGGGGCTGAAGAACAGCCCTCGCATCCAAGAGATTCCTTTTGTACGGGATAGCCTGGATGCATCGCGAGACGTGTTTTGCACCGGGTGAAGAAGTGCAAGTACTACTTACATGCGTGTAGATATACAGATATTACATACATATATATATATATATATATGTATGTATATATATATATATAATAACTTACATACATGTGCATGAGTATATACGTATATGTATACATACACAGGCCTTATCGGCCTTATCGATGTAGTTACAACAAAACCACCGGTAAGAAGAAGCACAACCAAGCATAGCTTACAAACCTTCCCAGATCAGGTTCCAGCTCGCGTTCCCAGGAGCAGCCTGAGCTTCGTGTTGCGCCCGAAGGGCTCCTGGTCGAAGCTCTGAATCCGAAACCTGGTTGGCTCGGTCTAGAGGGTTTAGGGTTTAGGGTTTAGGGATTAGGGTTTAGGGTTTAGGTAGGGGTTTTCAGCGGTTTAGGCTTTGAGGGTTCAGCGTCTAGGGTTTACGGGGTGTAGCCCCTCATAATAGCCTGCAAAAAGGCCCTATATTCTAGCCACAAAGGCCCCATTGTTAGAGTTTGCGGGACGGTCTTGGGCTTCGTCCGGTTGAGGATTGCTTGGGCTTGGGTTTGGAGATTCAAGGATTCAGGGCATAAGGTTCTGCACATCTGATTCAAAGTTTCAGATTGTCCCCTGCTCAACCCTAAAATCAAAACCGAAACCCTAGATTCATCACCTTCAGCCTATGCCACTCGGCTTTTGCGCAAAATCCCGCGTTTCGGGTTTAGGGGTTTACGGGGTAACGGGCTTATCGGGTTTAGGACTTGAGGGGTTTCGGGGATTCGGGCTCAGAGTTTAGGAGCAGTGGGGTTAGGGCTTGGACCGAAATTGCCAAGTGACGCTACAAAGCTCAGAGCAAGGGCGTCGAAGACTTGCCAGGCCTTGTTTGGCTGGCACGGCGGTCTCCAAAAAAGTACACTCTACAGTGGCTTGTTGACGGCGTATATATGCATAGTATATGCACACACATATAATGCATACATACATACATACATACATACATACATACATACATACATACATACATACATACATACATACACATGCATATATACATATATGTATCTGATCGTACATACATAGTGTGTATATATATATATAGGCACATACAGCAGATACCGTATATACATACATATTATATATGTATACATGCAATTATGCACAGTATATATATATACATAGAGTATATATGGTATACATAGTATATATGGTATATATATATATATACATACAGTAAAAACAGCGTGTGTATATGTAACATAACAGGTGTGTGCATATATATATATATACATACATATATATATATATATACATATACATATATAGATATATATATGTAGAGACAGAGAAGAAAGAGCGAAAAGAGAGAGAGAGAGAGAGAGCGAGCTTACAATATACATTATACAGGGCACATGGTTTGCATATATATATATATATGTGGGATATGTGTATATATATATATATATCTGTACGGTATATAAATGATAGATGTGTTAAGTAATGTGCAAGTATATATATATATAGAGAGAGAGAGAGGATCCCGCCGACCCACCTGCCCCCCCAATGGTATCCCCCGACCCCCCCTCCCCGCACTCCCCCGTCCCCCGCCGCACGCCCGGGTCCAAACATGCCGAATTTCTTGTGACCATTCGCACTTCTCCCACATCGCGGCCATAGAACCGTAAACTGTCACGAGAATCTCGTCTCAAACACACCCGATCCTTGTGGCAGTGGGCATGTTCCGACCACGACTCCGACATGAGGGTATGCAACCGTCACGAGGATGGCTTGCGTGACAGGCCCGAGTCCTGTGACAGTGAGCCAAGAAAGCAACATGATGGAACATCATTATGACGATGATGATGATGATATACCGCGAGCTACGCCACACCGCAGCCCAGGCAGACCCAAACCCGAACCGCACCGCACCACAGGGGGCAGGAGAGGCACCCGGAAGCCCCGAACCACCGATACTGATGATGATGATGATGATGATGCCAACACTCCAACAAGATCCAAGCTGCGAGTCACGCCACACCACAGGGCTGGAGGGGCCGAACCACACCAAATCGCAGAGGGGGCGGGAGAACCACACCACAAGGGGGCGGGAGAACGACGCCACATTGGGGGCGAGGGGGTACCAACCATGGGGCGGGGGTAGGGTGGCGGAGGGACGGTCGAGCCGGGATCACACACACACACACATATACATTTATATATATACATATATACAGGAAGCTCCAGAAAGCGTCGTATACACATATACACATACATATACATGTTGTATATACGTTGTGTATATTTATATATATAGAGTTTATACAGAGTATATATATATATATAGAGTAAATGTAGAGTATATGTAGAGTATATATGTGTAGTGTATATAGTTATAGTTGAAGCAAACATAAGGCAAAAGCATACAAAGATATATAGCATATATAGCATGTACAGCATGTATAGTACATATAGTCTGCGTGTGCATATGGCAAATGTAGTGTGTGTATACATATTCTTATACGTGTGCCGTGTGTGTATAGTGTATATGCCTATGATATATACATGTATACCCGTTGTAAATACAAACGTAATGTGATATAACATAATATAATATGATGTCAGAAATCCATTGATAATATAACATAACACAATACAGTACGATGCAATCTGATAGAATATGACATAATGTGATATCATATGACATACTATACTATACTATAAGATACACTGCTATAATATACCATATTATGCTTCAGAATAGTTGATTCTAGAGTCATATAATATATTGTAATATACTATGACATATTAGGAGATGATATAACATATATAATCTACCATATTCTACTGAAATACTGTATATCGTAATACATGATAAGATGAGATAAGATAAGATAAGATAAGATAAGATAAGATAAGATAAGATAAGATAAGATCAGACAAGATAAGACAGGATAAGATAAGATAAGATAAGATAAGATCAGATAACATAAGATGAGATGAGATGAGATGAGATAAGATAAGATAAGATAAGAGAAGAGATAAGAGATAAGAGATAAGAGATAAGAGATAAGAGATAAGAGATAAGAGATAAGATAAGATGAGATAAGATAAGATAAGATAAGATAAGATAAGATAAGATAAGATAACATAAGATAACATAACACAATACAAGACAATGTAATAAGCAATATCACAAGATAAGACGACCATACCATTGCGAACAGAACGTACTA